AAAATGATTAACGTACCACATTCTAATAAACCAACAAAACACTTTGTGTTAACCGGCTGGGCGTTTGATCGTTTCATTTTCCTTAATTTGGTTGCGTCGTTTTGTTTTAGCTTTCTCCTATACGTATTAAATTGCATGTGTTTTTTAATCAATTCGAGCGGCGCAGAATTGAAAACACACACATACGCAAGTTTTAGAGTAGCGTGAGAAAGCAAAAGGTTCATCTCACCTCGAACTCTTCACTTTTTCCAGTTTCTTCTGCATTTCGTCTTCACAAAGTATCGCATGCCAAGCAAGACGAACAGTACTCTTATAATTATATACTACGCACGTATTTGTTATGGATTATTTAATCACAAACTCTATCCATTATTGAGTTGTCGTTGGTAAATTACAACTCAATGTATTATAGTATATAATTAAATCAACAATTCTTTTTTCCAACTCACTTTGCTCTCTCTATCTATGTTAGAGAGTGAAGCACACGAATGATATCACCGACTCACACCGTCCCGTGATTGCATGACGCCCTACAAAGAAAACTGTGTTTGTAACTCTCTGTCACCCGCAAGATTCATTTTATTAATCAATGTTAAACACAACTACATTTTTAGTCGATATACATTAACATTATAGCAATTTTGATAAAACTATTAGTTTTCAAACCCCAATAGTCGTTTTGGATATATAGTCGCATCGGACAAGCATACTAGACCGTTCAAAGTGAATGGGCCGGTTTTTATTTTTCTCCCCACAAAATCTTTTCATACAAAACAGACAAAATTATTTTGTCCGATCCATCGTAGATGTCTGCAAATAGCAAACGCGTAAACATGTATATTAGCCATATGATTCTAGCTAGACGATTCAAATGCATGCTTACGTCCAAAGACATTAACATATGTGGTAGCAAATTAATTACGAAATATATGTCCCACCCACCTATGGAAAATACTCGGCAGCTGGTTTTCGTCATTTAGTATCGCAAGTCACAAACACTTCCTTTGTGAACATATGTTTTTGTAAATGGTCAACAAATTAAACCCTTACTAAATTTCAAAGTCTTTTCCACGAAAAAAACAACAATTTATAAGTCACTGTATACCAATACAGAAAAAAAAAATCTGGTAAGAATACAAAAATCTATAAGTCATTTATAATGTTTTCTTGTGTAAACTCAATGTTAAAATTCATGAAATATACGTTAAAAAGGTCAATAAAGATGTGAGACATAATTTGATGGCCTTTACGTAGTAGATTTGGGCCTATTAAATCGAAACACTAACTGGCCCATAAAATTTCCGCATTTTGTGTAAACCGGTTAATTCCAAACCGGGAGCGACTCGTGTGTTAGTGAAGCTAGAGATCATCTATCAGTCAAAGAAGAGAAGGCTTCTTTTCGTTGTTCCTCAGATCGAAGAAGAAGAAGAAGAGCTTAGCAAAAATGGTAAATCTAGATCTGTCCCTGTGTTTTCAATCACAGCTAATTTGATCTCTTTGTTTGTTGCTGCTTTACGATTTTTGATTTTGTTTTGGTCTGTTTATGCTTTTTTCCGGTGAATAGGCGGCGAAACCAATTGCGAGTCCGATTCCGGTGGCGTTGTATCCGACTTTGTCAGTGTTCACTTTGGCGATTGGCCTCGTCATTACTGCTATCTTCTTCATGTAAGCTTACACTCGATCTGGTTTTCTAGATCTTCGCAATTGCCTTTCCTTTTGATTTGCTTGATTGGTAGTTTAGTGAAACAGTTCCTGATTGATTCGATATGGCTTCGATTCATCTTGGTTTTAACAGACTTTGATTAGTCATTGGGTTCCATTTAGTGTGGTAGTCATGACTAAGTTTTGAATTATGAATCATGTAAGGTTCTACTCTTGCTTCGTCATTGTATTTGAAGCTTGACTAACATTATTACTGCTTATATATGGTTTCTGGTCACAATGCATTCTTAATTGCTAGCTTTTGGGTAGGCCTTTTTTAAAAGCTTTTGAAGCTATAAGTTTTCATCATTTCCATGATCTCTTTGGTTAGATTTGTTTTATCTCTCTTATAAATACTATAATTTGTGGTAATATAACATGCCATGGGTCTCAGTTAATTAGCGTTTAGAAATATATGAGGTTTACATGCCATCATGGTACAAAGACTCCCGATATATGGATGAGTAAGGTAGTATACGGAATAAGTACTTTAAAGTTTCACTGAATGTGACAAAATGACTAATCATCGATTTAGTTAAGACACAAGAAAGTTAGATTGTATAAGGATTCTCATTAAGCAAGGAGCCTCCAATTTCCAAAGGATGACAAGTTTGAGAGATATGATTCTATTTTGGCTGGGCTAACAAACAAGTGGGTTGCCTGCCTTGAGTCAAAAACTTTAAGATTGTTGACTGGAACCATTCGTATTAGACTATAGGTTACCCGCAGTCCACTCATATCTGACACTTCTGTTATTTGCAGTGTAACAAAGATCGATCAAAGTGTTGTTTTAACTTACCCTGTCATAACATTTGTGTTGCAGCTACGAAGCTACATCATCCAGGAAAAACCGAAGCCTCGGAAAGGAGCTCGCTACTTCAGCAGTTGCATCTGTCTTCTTGGTATGACTTATCTCCTTCTTCATCATCTTCTTGACTTTTGTTGCTGTCATAAACTTAATATCGGGTTTGAAATCTGCTTCTCTGTCTGTTTGTTTATTTGCATTGCAGGGTTTTGGATCGTTGTTTTTGCTACTTGCTAGTGGTGTTTATGTCTGATCCTTCTTCCCCAATACTATTCCCTATTCCCTACTAGTTCAAAAGACAAAAACAAATGAAATCAGATTTATTTTTGTTCAAGTGAAATCAGAGTTATGAATGTCAGACTTTGAGAAAAGTAGTCTTTAAACACAAAGTTGCAAACTTGCAATTAATTATCTTGTGCTATTGAATGCGAAAATGGAGTTTTGGATGGCCGCTTATTAGAACAACCTTTGCGTTGTTGAAATAGTTTTCTAGTAAATTTCTACAAACACTTGAGAACAAGCTTTACGCTTACTTTTCTAATGGGAAGATACTGATTTTACTCATAACCAAAAGGTTTACACAACTTTTATAACATGGTAACTTTTATAACATAGTCAAAATAAAAAAATTTATTATAGAAAAAAGTCATGGTATTTCCCGGGATGAAGTTTTACTCTGGCATAAAATATAATATTAAAAAAAAAAAAAAAAAAAGGAGAGGAGAGAAAAAGGAGAAAGAAGGAAATGGAGAGCGAAGAAGCAGATTCTGTTCAAGTTCAAGCCACCAGGCCCAGAAGAGTACCTAGGACTCCGGTAACGGCCATTGTGCTGAAGAAGAGAGTTCGTAAACCTAAGAACAATGAAGACTCTCATCAGTCAACTTTTTCTAAAGTAGAGAGTCACAAGGCCACTGTTGAGGACAAGCACGCTCAGTGGAAGACTCTTCTTCCCGTTCTCTATGATTCGTTTGCCAACCATACCCTCGTCTGGCCCTCTCTCTCTTGCAGGTCTATGTTTTTTCTTCTTTTGGGTTTTTCTGTTCTAGGATTTTGGAGAAGTTGTTTCCTTTCTGGGAAATAAAAATTCAAGCTTTTTGCTTTTGGTCTGGCGATTTAGTGACATTTCCGCTTTAGCTAGTGAATGATGATAGATTGAGAGTTTCTCTTTGCAGTTTTCTAGAATTTGTGAGATTGACATGCTCTAGTTAGGGCTTATACAGTTTATGAGTTAGCTCCGTCCCCATGCTTTTATGTGTTTTTTGCTCTTATATTTAGATATGTTATAGCTCATTAGCTATCTGATGTTTCCATTTTGAAGCTCTCAAACAATTTTTGACAAGAGATGGTCGTTGGTAACTCTTGGCCAACTCGATTTTAGTGTTCTGTTTTGTTACTTTTTGGTTACAGATGTTTAGCTGTGCTAAGATTTAGTGAAGTGTTTAGATATTTGCATAAAGAGGTTCTGTTTCGTTGTAACGGGTATTTGGTTTGAGCAGATGGGGGCCAAAGCTTGAGCAAGCAGCTTCGAAGACTCAACGACTCTATCTCTCAGAACAAGTGGGTTTACGCTTTTTCTTGTAGTTTATACATTTTTTTCCAAAGTTTGTCTATTACTTCATATATGTTTACCTTTTTTTCTTGGTTCTGTCACTAGACTAATGGCAGTGTGCCTAATACTTTGGTCGTAGCCAATTGCGAAGCTGTTAATAGGCAGGTAATTACGTTTTTTGTACCAAAGCCTGTGCTTTTGTCCTTGTATCACTTCTCTGCGAAGATGAAATTCTTGAAATACCGTTTCTATATGGTTTCAGCTTAATGAAGAGGCTTACTCTCCATTGGTGAAGAAGTTCAAGACCATTATCCACCCTGGAGAGGTGTGAGTTCCACCCTTTCGAGAGATATTCTTGTATTCTCATTTTTGTTTCTTAGATGGATTTACTGAATCTGAATTTTGTTTAAGGAATTTTGAGTACTGCAAAAAGACTTTTATTATGTGTACCCTTCATTAATTGCAGATCAACAGAATCAGGGAACTCCCACAAAATAGCAAGATTGTAGCTACTCACACCGACAGTCCTGATGTAAGCTTTGCTTTCTAGGTTCATCTGCCGGTCAATAAAATTTATTTTGTGATTCAGTATCCTCGTTTAAATTTAGTTCCACTTTTAGTCATGCAAGTCTGATATATCGGTTTTCAGGTTCTCATTTGGGACACTGAGACTCAACCAGACAGGCATGCTGTGTTTGGAGCTCCACATTCTCGTCCGGATTTGGTATGCTCTTGTGAGAATATTCGTTGTGTTTTCCCACCGTGTTAAACCACCTGCTTGTGCTTACCTATTTTTTCGTCATCTGAACAATATTTAATTTCAGTTACTAACTGGGCATCAAGATAATGCTGAATTTGCTCTTGCAATGTGCTCAACCGAACCTTTTGTTCTCTCTGGAGGTTTGTACTGGTTCTGTCTTTGTGTCATATATTGGATATTTGCATGTTTGTATTGACTATCTGTGTCAAATTCTTCCGTGCAGGCAAGGACAAGTCTGTTGTTCTGTGGAGCATCCAAGATCATATCACAATGGCTGGTACGGATTCCAAATCCCCTGGATCAAGCTTCAAACAGACTGGTGCAAGTAATAATAAAATTAGTGGTCCTTCTGTTGGCCCTCGAGGCGTATATCATGGCCACGAGAATACAGTTGAAGATGTGGCATTTTGTCCATCTAGGTAACTTCTGGGACAATCTCTTTTTTTTAGCTCTAAGTTTTATACACAAATGCAGAACTATTCAGACTTTTCTGATGTTTTTGGTGATTTTTTGTTTTGTCCTGCAGTGCACAGGAATTCTGCAGTGTTGGTGATGATTCTTGCCTAATGCTATGGGACGCAAGAAATGGTACTGGTCCTACCATGAAGGTACCTCCCTTTTTAGCCCTATCGGAGTTTGATGTTTGACGTTTTGGTTTACAGTTTCGGTCTGTTTATTCTTGTGTGCTGGCAGGTTGAGAAGGCACATGATGCTGATCTTCATTCTGTCGATTGGAATCCTCATGACAACAATCTGATCTTGACAGGGTACTGACTGATTTTTCACACTTAAATACTTGTCCAAAAGTACAGAGATGCTGCTTTTCTTTCACTCAACGTTTCTCCACCATTTGTCCAGATCAGCAGATGACACTGTCCGTGTGTTTGACCGCCGAAACCTGACTGCAAATGGAGTTGGTTCACCTGTCTACACATTTGAAGGCCACAAAGCTGCTGTTCTTTGTGTTCAGGTTTAAACAACATGCCCCTACCTCTTTTTTGTTTCCGTATTATTTCTCCTACACGAGAATACCTATCTCCGATGACACTGTTTTGTAATCAATACAGTGGTCTCCTGATAAATCATCTGTTTTTGGGAGTTCCGCAGAAGATGGTCTCTTGAACATATGGGATTATGACAGGGTTAGTATAGTTTTACGGATTCACATGTAAACTTCTTCTCTTACTTTTAAGTTCACCATAATCATATATATGTATGTGTGTGTGCCTCAGGTTGGCAAGAAGTTCGAGCGTGCACCCAAAAGTCCTGCTGGGCTTCTCTTCCAGCATGCTGGTCACAGGTTCTCAAGACTTAATCCTAAATTTCATGTTTGCTTTTTTCTTCTACACTCTTTATTTCTGTAATCTCCTTGTGTAAATATTCTTAGGGACAAAGTGGTTGACTTCCACTGGAACGTATTGGACCCTTGGACTATTGTCAGTGTTTCTGATAACTGTGAGAGTAGCGGTGGAGGTGGAACATTACAGGTACAGTACTTTCAAAATGTCTTGCTGCATTTACTGGGAAACCTACCTATGATTAGCTTTCTTGGTAAATTTATGATTTTTAACTATGCAGATATGGCAGATGAGTGACTTGATTTACAGACCGGAGGATGAAGTCTTTACAGAGCTAGAAAAGTTCAAGTCACATGTTTTCACATGTACCTCCAAGCCTTGAGGAAGCAATCCCATGTCTATTAGTAAGTTGCTGCAGGTTGGGTGCAGTTTTGCGGAAAATCGGTTTGCGTATGTGAGTTAGGCGTTAGTTTAGGCGGGGAGATTACTTGGTTTATGTAGGCCAGTAATCCAAAATATTGGTAATTTTAAAACTTCATTAATCTTTTAGGGTTCTTGATTCTGTTTCTTCAAGTTAATATGGTAGGCACCTAACTTGCTTGTATCTTCAACTATTGTTGTGAATCCAAACTTGGTTAAGCAAGACGAAACTAAAGCAACAGAATGAAATCCAGATCTCTAGTACTTGGCTTGACCCATGTTTCACTGATTCGTTCAGTTCTTACTTCTTACAACAACAAAAGCAGATAGAAAATTTTGGTTCTTCACATCTAATCGGTTTCATTTCAAGAATATCGGTTCTACATAAACCCGGTTGAACCAAACCAACTCACAAGTTCTACTTCTACAGAGCTATTATGCAATCTTAAGACCTGAGACATCTATGCAAAACTTGGAGACAATTGGAGTTAAACTCTTGGGATTGTGGGGTGAGGGAGTTAGGTAGCGACATTTGAGGATATTTATTGCAAAATATCTTCTAGTAGATTCTCTCTTTTCTCTGCCCTTCACCTCTCTCTCTCTCTCTATAGTTTTAAAACATCTAGTACTAAACTCTTTCATGGGGTTTTGGCTTATCTGACATTAAGTACAATACTCTTTCATAGATATAAGACCATCAGATAGGGTGTCTATAGGTTTTGTTGGATTCTCATCATTGATTTCATTGTAGCTATAACCAAACAGAAGCCTTGATTGTCGACGCATACAAACACACTCTATACACACACACACACACGTTTTGAGTTTTGTATGTGTATGTGAATATGCCAAACTATTTGTTTGGAAGAGAGGAGACAAATTTGTGGCTCAAGAAGTACTATATCTTCATTGTTCAAGGTTAAGTCCTTTTTTAAATCCTAGCCATTGAACCCCTTCTTCTTCTTTTTTTTTTGTCTGGTTCTCTCTATATGTCCTCTATCGAAATTGTTGTAGTGATGCCACACCATTTAGACCGATCATTTGAGTTTTTGCACAATCTAATCTATATTAAACACCAAATTAGCTCCATTGTTCTTTCTACTTGAGAAAGAAGGGTGTGTGGTGAACTAATTCTAAGCCTAAAGCTTAATTTGTCTAGAGTAGTGCAGAGCTTTTAGGTACTGATACACTTGTTACTGCTGATCTATAAATAAATACAATACATATATAGCTTGCATATTAAATAGATGTGTATGAAACACGTGACCACCTTCGACTGTGTCATTTTCAATCTTCGAAGATCAAGGAAAAGTCCTTAGGTCACGGGAAAATACCATTGTAGCTAGATTTTGGAGCTCAAGATTTTGACTTTCCTTCTTGTATATCCACATAAACAATATTTATCTGCATATATGTAGATATATTAGTTAAGAAAGAGAAAAAATGATTTTGTGTACATCAAAGGTACATAGAGAGATCACACACAACTCGAGTAAAGAAAATAATTAATAGTATTTGGTATTGAACTCTCAAAGTTGATTCTTGGAGAGCCAGAGCTTCTTCGGGATGTGCAAACTCATCGCAACCGACAAAAGCCTTCAGCGCAAGATTTTGTCTTTATGCTTCGACGTCGGATTTTAAAAAGATTTCTTCACATCTTCGAGAATTAATAATAAATGTCGGGGTCACAAAAATATACATATAGTAATGTGGATTTAACGTAGAAGGATTGCATATTGATGATTTCATTAAATTTTATGAGTAATTATAGCTATCAATTAAGTTTTGATAGCTAAATATATGATTTTTTCTAGTAATGTGTCATTTTCTGATTTTTAATAAGTTAATGGATATGATAGCTTACGGATCTGCACTACCTTTGATGAAGATCCATTTCGGTGTATAGTGCAAAAGTTTAATATATAATTCAATTTTTAACTAAAGTAAAGACGATAAATCTACAATAATATCTCTTCATCTAAAGAAAAAGTTGCATGCTATCGATCTAAAAGAAACATATATATTCGTTAAAAGAACATTTCTTCATGAACATACTCGCTAAGGAATCAATTTATCATCGTGTATATTATATGATGATTGCCTACAAACTCTGAGGTGGTAACAAAAAGCAAAAAGGAAATATATTTAACGTCTTTTTATTCTTTGCTATTTATATATGGTTGTCTTAAATAAAATAAATTATCGTGTCGACTTAATGTCTAAAGTTTTTAGCAATAGTATTTGACGTACAAAAAACCCCAAGCATGTCCTTCTAAGAAAAATAACTTAACATTGAAAAGAAGATAAGAAAATGAGTTTTTAACCCTTTGATCATTGGTAAGTCACAATTCTAGGTTTAGCTTCTTTTATCTATCTATAGTGTTAACACTGCTACGTTTCAACCAAGTCATATATATAGTGTTAACACTGCTACATTCATCTTTATATGTTTAGGTTAAATGTAAATAGATTTCTTGATTTCTTTCGAGAATCTGAGTAATTCGGATGAATGTCAATATAGAGCCGCATGCAATACATATATATATATACGTACGTATGTGTAAATGATGAATATGAGCTAAATAAAGAAGGATGTTGTTAAGAGAGGAGAGTGATGACACAATCATGGTTAGGTTGATTAAAATAGGTATCATCCAATCAAAGGTGGATCAGTACCACTGACTCATAATTTGCAACTTCAGACCCTACCCTCTGTCATCTTCTTTCTTACATGTGATCTTCTCTCTTTCTTTCCATTTTTTATCATTTTCTTTCTATTCCTTTCCTCATCATCACTTTTTATTTTTATATTTGTTTCTTTAAATCACCAATCTTTATTAATATAGATCTTTCTTTCTTTTTGTTATAACTTTTAATATTCAATATGTGATCCAAATTGTTGTATTTAGTTTTAGAGTCTTAAACCTTATGTAAAATTTGTGTCCAAAGAAATTAAAGAAAGGAAAAGAAGAAGACAGATGTGTTGTTAGAACAATAAAAAAGACAGATGATGCGTTATTATGTTAACACGTAAGGTATAAGTCAGCGACACGTTGTTGGTACGTTTGGAGCATATTGCTTTGTTCTACATGCAAATCTTTTCATCACTCACTCACTATTCACTACAAATTTTGAAAAAAAACGTTGGGAGGCAGTTCAACCGCATATAACGCTCAACATGCAAATTTTTGTTCTGCGCACATTTGTAGTAACTTTTATCTAACTCAAATTATTCAATATGATTCGGTATTGCACTTTTACTAAGTACATCAACTGTAAACGCCATAATAATTGTGATATGTTTTAAAAATAATTCAATGAGTCAGTGGCACTGCGGACGATAGGTGAGCTTTGATGAGGTGACTTGAAATCTAATTGACATATTTATATATTATATATATATATATTTTGCCTTCAGGACATGTTGGTTGTGTTGTGTTGTGTTGATGTGTGATACTGAAGCTAAATAAGTAAATTGTTTGGTTCTGTTCTTTAAACCGTATTTAGTGTCTGTTGAAAAGAAATAATTTACTCACTGTATAACTAAACCTAACTTTTGAACCAAAATATGACTAAAATATTTAAAAGCTACCGGTATTTTCATATATTGTTGATTATCTCATATTTTTTTATAACTATAACGACATTATATGTACAGCAAAAGGTTATTTCAATTATTTTGGGATTAGAATGATTGAAAATGACATGTTTGTGAAAGTTTAACTGTTCATTAAAAAAATGTTCTCTCTTAAAAATATCTTTGTTTAAATTATAAACAAAGTTAACATATAAACTCATGCTCATCTTATCATATTATATAGCATATACTTTATTTTTATAATGTTTAAATTTTGCAAAATAATATCTTTTTGATTTTCTCAAATATATTTGATAAACCAGAAAAAAAAATTAAAATTTTAAAATTGATAAAAAATTACAAAATTACAACATTTAAATAATATCTTAATTGCGAGATTAAAAATTTAAATCTTAAACATAATATACTAGTAAAACTCTGCAGCCCAGTGGCTTTGTTGGCACAGAGTCAGAGAGACACACTCTCTCCCTTTATAAATGTTCTGCCAAAGCAATCTCTCTCCATTCATTCATCTTCTTCCCCCTAATCCCCAAATATACACTCTCCACCCACAGCCCCCTCTTACATAAAAACCTCTCCTTTTCTTTTTCTTCCTTCACCCATAACACAACACACACCGACAAGTAGATTCCTTTTCAACTATGGCGAAGAAAGCAAGAATTGTTATAATCGGAGCTGGAATGGCTGGTCTCACGGCGGCCAACAAGCTCTACACCAGCTCCAACGACATGTTCGAGCTCTCCGTCGTCGAAGGCGGTTCTAGAATCGGCGGTAGGATCAACACCTCCGAGTTCTCGTCCGAGAAGATTGAGATGGGTGCCACGTGGATCCACGGTATTGGTGGAAGCCCTGTTTATAAAATCGCCAAGGAGACTGGCTCTCTTGTCTCCGACGAGCCATGGGAGTGTATGGATTCCAGCATTGACAAAGTTAAGACCTTTGCTGAAGGTGGGCTCGAGGTCGACCCTTCGATTGTTGAATCCATCTCCGGATTGTTCAATGCTCTCATGGAATTAGCTCAGGGGAAAGAGATCTCTCAGTCCGACGCCGATTTGGCCCGTCTGGCTGATATTTACGAAACTGCCACTAGGGTTTGTTCTCCTCCTAGTGTTGGGTCGTTCCTGAAATCTGGGTTCGATGCTTATTGGGATTCAATCAGCCATGGAGGAGGAGGTGATGGGGTTAAAGGGTATGGGAAATGGAGTAGGAAGTCACTTGAAGAAGCCATTTTTACGATGTTCAGCAACACGCAGAGGACTTACACATCAGCAGATGATCTCTCGACGCTTGATTTCGCGGCGGAGAGTGAGTACCAGATGTTTCCGGGGGAAGAGATCACCATAGCTAAAGGTTATCTCAGTGTTATTCAGCATTTGGCGTCTGTGCTTCCTCAAGGTGTTATCCAGTTGAATCGAAAGGTCAGAAAGATCGAGTGGCAGAGTAACGAAGATCGTCATGTGAAGCTGCATTTCTCAGATGGGTCTGTTGTTTTTGCAGATCATGTTATTGTTACTGTCTCTTTAGGGGTGCTCAAGGCAGGGATAGGGACTGATGGAGAACTGTTTAGTCCTCCTTTGCCTGATTTCAAATCAGACGCTATCAAAAGGCTGGGATATGGAGTTGTCAACAAGCTGTTCGTTGAAATGTCACAGAGAAACTTCCCGTC